TGTTGATCCTCACTGAGGAGATCTCCCCATTGATTTTTAGAGAGCAGAGCGAGGGGGAAAGACACACAGAGAGAAACACCGATGTGGGAGAGACACAGCGATTGGCAGCCTCCTGCACATGCCCGGACCAGGGCCAGGGATGGAGCCCACAACCGAGGTCCATGCTCTTGACTGGAACTGAGCCTGTAGCCAGCAGAACCCGCATGGAAGGCTTACACCCACACGCAGCTCACTGCCTGCCTGGGTGGGGGCGGGTTTTCAGATGGGTGTCAGGTTTCCCCAAAGTGGTGCTTCTGCCTTTTGGCTCTGCCATGGGACCTGCCACTCTCTTCATGGCCGGACTGAGCCCCAGACCCAGGACCCATGGGGGGGGCCACCTGAGGAGCATGGGGGGCTGTGGCCATTGAAGACATGGGGAGGGGTGGCCACGTGGGAGCGCCCCTATCTGGGGCGGCCATGTGGGGAGCAGCCTGAAGGTAGCAGTGGGGGGAGTGGCTGGGAGCAGCCTGCAAGCCCAGGAGGCCTCAGAGCCTGGGACCTGTGGCGCCTGGACTTGGACCGCCGCCTGCAGAACTGTGACACCAGCCTGCTCCTGGGCGCCCAGGGCGGTAGGCTGTGATGGGCCTGTCCACTCCCACAGAGCGACGACTGCAGCACTGTGCTGGTCACCCCAGGAGAGCGCTGCTCCTGGCGCGGGGGGTGGGGGTCGGACTGGCAGCAGACCCATCGCCCCTCTTCCCGCACCAGTCTGTCTCCCTCTCCTCCTGCCCGGGCCTGCGCTGCTTGTGGTTGGACGTGTCCCTCTATATGCGCGTCACTCCAAGAGAAACGACTTCTAGTCAAGGCGCAAGGAAAGAGGTGAGGACAACACCTCCTGAACGCCAAGTGCCGTCCGCACCGGCCCCTCCAGGACGGCTGGGCGCTCAGGTTTTACTGGAAACAGGCCCGTGTCGTCCAGATAGCACAGATCCCGCCCACCCTGACGTCAGAGCATTAAAGTGCTCCTCTGGCTACTGGGCTGCATTGGAACATTAACTTGTCTCACTGTCCTGCTGAGCAACCAAAGACATAACCCTCATGAAAATGCAAATCACCCCCCTAAGCACACTATTAATTATTTCAGAGCTACTTGGAGGTCAGAGGCTTCTAGCAATTTCTGTGCATGAAATCTCATTAATACAGGACACCACACAGTAAGGTTTTAGCAGTTACTGCATGTGTGTGTGTGAGAGTGTGCATGCATGTGTGTGAATAGGTGTGCATGTATGTGTGAGTGTGTTGTCTGTGTGTGAGTGTGCATGTTTGTGTTGTGTGAATGAGTGTGTGTGAATGAGTGTGAGAGTGTGTGTATGTGTATGTGAGTGTGAGAGTGTGTATGTTTGTATGAGAGTGTGTATGTTTATGCGTGTGTTGTGTGAAAGAGTGTGTGTGTATGCGTGTGAGAGTGTGTATGTTTATGTGTGTGTTGTGTGAATGAGTATGTGTGAGTGTATGTGAGTGTGAGTGTGTATGTTTGTGTTGTGTGAATGAGTGTGTGTATGAGTGTAAGAGTATGTATGTTTGTGTGTGTATTGTGTGAATGAATGTGTATGAGTGTGTGTGTGAGTGTGTGTATATTTATGTGTGTGTTGTGTGAATGAGTGTGTATGAGTGTGTGTGTGAGTGTGTGTATATTTATGTGTGTGTTGTGTGAATGAGTGAGTATGAGTGTGTGTGAGTGTGCAGCTATGTGTGGGAGTAGCTGCCAGGGCTGCAGAAACATCTGTTGTTAGGTATGAACTCGGTCACCGAAAGGCAGTGATGGCGGAAGGAGTGAAATGGAGGAGCCGTACTCCAAGGACAGCTGGTGTCCTCCGGGAACGGAACCGCTGGGCCCGGCCTGCCAGCTGGCATGGCGGGACGGGAAACGCACATCCTTCAGAGAACCAACGAGGTCGGCGCCTGAGCTTCCGGAAACCAAGGTCAATGCCGGGCCCTGACCTGGAGCCGCCGAGGTCGGCTTGCAGCGAGGGGGGAGTTCCCGGCACCGAACCATTGGGACCAGCCACACCCCACCTTCTTGCCTGGCGAGAGCCCCTTTGTTTGCACCACATGACTCCATTTATTGGTGAGTCACCGCCATTCACATTGGCTTCTAATGAACCCCGGTCTTCTCAGCTGTGCCTCCGGAACGACACGGTTCAATCCACGCTTGTTCCTAATAGCTGCTCTTTCTCCTGAGTCTGAAAACGTTGATTTCCTAATTGTGTAGTATTTCTACTTTATATTCTGTCTTACGCTACGCCCTGTGAATCAGGGCACAGTTAAATAAACCAGAGGGAAAGGTGCTGGATAGCTGGATCAGTGGGTAGTGCCCGGTAATTGGTGGGTTTATGCATTGAGTTACAGAAAATGCCTGCCTACAGTTAAGGGATGTCTAAATACATGTTCCTCTATAAATATACACGCATATGCACACACATCATCTCGTACCGTCCATGGGAACGCATGCTCATGTAACAACCAAAATAACAAAAGCCAACGCTCATTCTGAGCACTCTCCGGCACGTAGCCTAATGGCACCTTCTGAGGCTTTGTTTTCACCCCTTCCCATGCCAGCGTCTGAAAGGGGTGCTGCTGTGTCTCCCTGTTTACCCTAAAGGGAAACCGAGGCACATCCTGTCCAGTCACTGGCCCTGCCCAGGTTCCATCTTGGCGTCGGGATCTGAACGTGGCTCCCCGTGCTCTGGTGCCCCCGGACATGTGCTCTGTGTGCTGATCCACAGTGCAGGTTTGCTGGCTTATTGGAGGTGTTCTTAGGGCTTATATTACTTAAAACGTGAAAAAGCTAAGCTCCACTAAGAATGCTCAGGCCGGTGCTGGACCCTCTCAGACCTTGGTCGGCATGTCAGCTGCGCCGTGTCATCGTCGGACAGGGGACAGCCTGAGGGACAGAGCGGTCCCCATACAGAGACTCAGGGGAGGCCCCGCTTGTTGTTTCCTTTTGTAGATAAGTTTTCCCTAACAATATATGGACACATGTATTATGTACATCCTAGTTTACACACCGCCGCGTCATGGGCAGATACAACTGAAAAGCCAGTGTCATAACTGACAAAGCCAGCCATGCAATCCGCTACCTGCACTGGGTCTGAGCGTCTGTGGAGGTGTGCTGTTCACTTTGGTCGGCATTAGGACTAAGTGTTGAGAGAAGCCAAACATACAGTCTGACCATTCCATCAGGGTGTCGCACAGTTTCCAGCCACAATTCTCAGAGCCCTTGAAGCATATTTACTCACCCCGCAGTCAGTAAAAGCCAACGCACACTGAGGTGCGGACCCTCACCTCACGCCACAGACAGAAATGAACTCAAACTGATCCGTGACCTACATACAGGAGCTAAGCTATTCAATGAAACCATACGGGTCCATTTTCATGACTGTGAACTTGGCAATGGGTTATTGCATTTGGCATCAAAAGCGTAAGCAGCAACAGAAAAAGAAAGAGAGAGAGAGAGAGAGAGAGAGAGAGAGAGAGAGAGAGAGAAACTGGCTTCATCAAAACGAACCACTGTCGTGTACCAAGGGGCATGGTCACCAACCACAGAAGAGGAGGAAGGTTTGGAAGTCACACATCTGATCGAGGTCTCGTGTCCAGCACACATAACGAATGCCTACGACGCCATTAAAAATGCACACAGGCCTTGAGCAGACATCGCTCCAAACGGCAAACAAGCACATGAGAGAGATCCAGCACCGTTGGTCAGGCAGGAAATGCAAATCAAAGCCGGGGTGACATGCACTTCCCACTAGCAGGACAGCTATTTAAACAACAATGAAAAGAACCAATTTGCTGGAGACACTGCGAACTGGTACATCAGCTGGGAAAGTCCTTAGAGAGTCCTTCAGCAGGTCAACCGCAGAATTACAGCACACCCAGCATTGCTCGTCATCGCCCACAGTGGAAACAGCGCAAATGCCCAGCGACAAATGAACGGATAAACTCACTGTGGTTTGGCCACGTCATGGATTGTGATTCAGCCATGAAAAGGAACGAAGATACGTGCCACCACTCAGATGAACTTCAAAAACATTATGCTAAGTCCGTGGTCAGCAAACCCATCAGTCAGCAGAGCCAAATATCAACAGTACAATGGTTGAAATTTCTTTGGAGAGCCACATTTTTTAAACTTAAACTTCTTCTAACGCCACTTCTTCAAAATAGACTCGCACAGGCCGTGGTATTTTGAGGAAGAGCCACACTCATGGGGCCAAAGAGCCACATGTGGCTCTCGAGCTGCAGTTTGCTGACCATGGCACTAACTGAAAGAAGCAGGCACAAAAGATCACGGGTTGTAGGATCCCTTTCCCATGAAGGATCCAGAGGGGCTGCTTTGTCTCGGGTAATAAGATCGTTCCCAACCTAGAGGGAGCTGGGTGGTCCCTGCGTTGTGAGTGCCCCAAATGCCACTGAGCTGCACCCCTGAATACAGTTAATTACACTTTATATGAACTTCACCTCAACTAAAAAGACAGATAATAATAATAACATAACGCAAGTAGAAGGCTGTAAATGTTGAAAGATTTAAAAATACTTCAAATCGTAAGTATTTCAGCTCTAGTCCACCCTCCTTTGATTCCTCTCTTAACATATGCTGTTTCACACACGTGTGCAGGTGCGCCCAGTGTTTACAAATGAGGCACCTGCCTTCACTCTGGGCGGTGCTGCTCAGAGCAGGCAGGAAGGCTGGCACCCAGGGGACCCGGGAGCAGGCGCCGGGTGCCTGGGTCAAAGCCATTGCCCTCACCGCCCAGGCCTGGCAGGCTCTGCGCCTTCTGGCTCCACACAGCCCGCCCACTCTGCAGAGTTTGTATTTTGTTGTGACCCAAACATCATGGTGTTTTGTCCTGAACGATCAAATCGGTATTTCTCTTTCCACCGTCAGCTGGGCCTGGTGCAGCTGACAGGCTTGCACCAGCCGCTCTGCTGTCTGAACGGGCGTTCCGCGGGGAGAGACTCACCCACACACGGCAGCGAGTAGCCCAGCTGGGGGTCATGGACGAACTGCCGGTCGTTGAGCCGGGTCACGCAGTACAGGTGGAAGCAGTCCAGGCAGATCACGTGGCGGTGGGTGCACTGGAAAACCAGGACCGGGCTCCTGCAAGACAGAGGCGCTGCCTTAGCTCCTAGGGAGGGGGTGGGGGGGGAGGAGGACCCCACCCCTTGGAGGGAGGCGGAGGGCGAGGCCAGCTCAGAGAGACCGCCTGCGGGGCGCTGAGCTTCGCGTGCGGGGCTCCGTCCTCCAGGCGGGAAGCGCGCCATCAACCACACGGAACCTTGATTTCCCCGATTTTACATGTTTCAGGTTAACAGATTGACTAGTCAGCTGTTAATTTTAATTTGTGGATTTTTAAAAGTTAAACTAGGGTGCCACTGGTCCACATGAACACAGGTTTCAGGTGTGGCTTTCTACGTTACAAGTGCTGTATGTGGCACCATGTGCCCACCTGCAAAAGGCAAATCTTCTGTCACCTCATATCCTTGCCCCCTCCACACACCCCCCCTACACCCTCACAACCCCCCCACTGCTGCTTGTGTCCACGGTCTCAGGCCAGGCAGCTGCTTCCACGTGAGCTCTGACACAGCACCCCCAATGGCATCCTGTCTCCTCACTCCCAGCTGACCGCCAGCACCCCCACACGTACGCATCCCTCTCCACCCGCCATGGCACCGCAGCATCGATGCCTTCCTCCCAGGGATGTCACCCGGAAGGCAGACCCGGGCTGCTTTACGCTGACACCCCCAGCACCAGGCCCGGGAGGTTCTGAGTAAGCCTTCCTTGAATTTAATTATAATAATATATGGAATCCGAGCTTCCCCGAAGTCAGAGGAAAAATTACGACTGCACTGAAGCGCTTAGGGGAGCGGGAAGCGGAGAGGGCGAGCTTTGTGATGAAAAACTATTCCGCAGAGGTTTCCGATGCTGAGGTTTGTCTGTGCTGCCACCCCAGCCCACCCAGGTATCCGGTCTCTTAAATCACGCTTAGGCGCTGCTGTAAATTGGTACAGACAAGGCCTAAACATGTTGGGTTCCTTTAAAACACTTTGTAGGGGGGGGGGGGGAATCTCCTGAATAACTATGTATTTCTGCTAGCAAATGAACCATCCAATTTTATGACAAAAAGGAGACAGGCTGAATATATTAATTTGAGATCAGCCCCAAGGCCATTTTAACAGCAAAAAAAGTCGTTGGCGCTTGTTTAGATAAGCCCGTTCTCTATTAATGATCATAAAACAAAACAGCTTTCATTCTCACCCAGGCCCAACACATCTGCTCTCAGGAGCCCCTCCCGCAGGCAGGCTGACCACCAAACATCCATATCACAAAAAGGTGACTTGCTAACGATTGAAATATTTCCAAAATTCTGTTTCCTCACTTATGTTAAAGCAAAATCACGGCAGAACACATTGTTCCACCGGGAAGCTCGCTCTGCTCCCCAGGCCGCACGGCTGTGGGGCGTCGTCAGCGGGCCTCAGTGCTTGTCCCCCCAACGAGCAGAACTGAGGAAACGAGGGGCTGCCTCGGGCTCCGATTACGTTCAGATTGTAGAAGCACACATGCACACCACATGCATGTGTGTCCACATATATGCACGGGTGTGTGGTTTTGTTGCGTGCTGTTACTGTGATTTCTGCTTTCATTTTCCTAGGGGCGCAGGGTCTGACCCACTCTGTGAGTGTGTTCCTGGTGCACTGCAGAGAGTTAACCCGGAATCACACAGCACATTGACGCCCCCACTTCCGCTTCCGAGGGAAGGAACAGAAGGGAAACCCACGTGCTGTGTGGGTTCAAGGACACCTGCCAACCGCGGGCTCTGGTCTTGCTCCAGTCTCAGAGGCTCTGAGTGGCGGGGGCTCGGTGGTCTCGCTGGCAGAGCTGAGGGTCAGGGGACAGGGTGCCTCCTGAAGGCCAGGCCACAGGCTCTGACACCTGGTTTTCGCCAGCGACCGTGATGCAGCCACCGTATTAGAGAAAAGCCCTAAATTTGGAGACTATATTTCCTACTTGTCATGGAAAACTGCCTTCCATGTATTATATTAAAAATGACTTTCCTCCTCCTCCTCCTCCTCCTCCTCCTCCTCCTCCTCTCTCTGTCAACATCCACTGGTTTGTAGAGCCCAGCGTCAGGGTGTTACCAATCCTTTTCGGGACAAAGGAAAACTGTTACCGACATCACAGCTTTGGCTTTCAGGGTAAGTTATCTGGAACTAAAGAAGCTTCAACATCGTCACAAGCACAGACGGCAATGCTGCTTCTGTGGCGAAGTTTATCCTTCACTTCCTCGGTGCCAGAGCTACGGAACAGCCTGGCCACTGGGCTTTCAGGAAAACAGGCGGCCGGCCTCATCAGTTCGCAGGGCTGGTCTCAGAGAGGATGGGCCGGTGACAGACACGGTGCCCTGCTCTGGTGACGCAGGACGCCTTCTGACACGACAAAGAGGGGCCCTCTGCAGAGCAGACGGAGGGGTCAGGGACGCCTGGGGAGCTGGCGCTGTCCCCCTGGCTCGCGGACGGTGGGACTGCAGTGGAGGGGCCCACGGACCTGAGCAGCGTGCCAGCACCGCTGTCTGCCCCAGAACTGGCAGCGGAGCTGCAGGGTCAGGCTACCCAGCAGGGCCATGTGGCCGTGAGCCCCCACGGGAGCCCACAGGCAGGACACAGGCGGGGCCCCGCTCGCTGGGCACCGGCAGACCCGTGCCCACAGCATTGCAGCCAGGGCGGACGCACCGCTCACACCCATCCCTTCTCACCTGGAGTGAGGACGGCTGACGCTTCTCTGCAAACCCTTTTCCGTGTGCAGCACGGAAAGCTGCATCTGCTCTGAGGGAAAGGCAGGGATCGCCCGAAGTGAGTGTTTCCTAAGAAACGAAGGGCCTGACTCCTGAGCCCACTGGAGGCTGGGAGCAGCCCGCTCGGTGGGCCAGAGGGGCCTGATTCCACGGTGAGAGCGAGGCCGCCGGGTCAGGAACCTCCCGGAACGGCCCAGACAGCCTCCCCTGGGAAAGGCACTCGGAGCTTCCTGCCCGGTTTAACGGGTGGCGCTGCCGCTGGACTGTGTCACTCGGAGTTACAGCTGATGCTGCACCCTGAAGCGGAGCCAAACCAAAATAAACAATCTGCTCCGCTCTGCTCAGACTAACAGGACCGTGATGGAAGGCCCGCTGGCAGCTGCAAAGGCGAGCTGGGTGCGTCCGCCATCCTCCCAGTGCAGCTTCCTCAGTGGGGGGTCCTGGCGCCAGTCAGTCTCATCCTTACAGGCCTGGGCGGGGCCAGGGCGGGGCCACGGACTGGGCGGGGCTCTGAGAGGTCCCACTTTCACCTGCTCTGGTCCAGGGGAGAAGCTCTGAGCCCAGCGCCCACGCTCCTGTCTTACGGGTTTGGGAGCCGCATGACGGCCTCGCGGTGTCTGAGCTGGGAGGTTGCAGGCTCTCGGGGTGCGGGAGTTTCCCTGTGGCTCACAGAAAGGGGTGCATCTCACAGCATAGAGCTCCCTTCCCAGCCGCCACACACACTCCCGCCATCTCCACACCCGCACGTATTTTGGTCCCTATTGGTGACCTGCCAGCAAGCGATTCTTCTGGTCTTTTTCACGCCTTTTCCCACTCAGAACACGAGCGTTCTGCAAGGGGAGGGGCGGTCGTTCGGTTCCTTTGGGAGGGAGGTCTGGGCTGCCTCTCCTCTCACCACCGGAGGCCGGTCCCGCCACCTCCCTGCAGCCTCCTCAGCACAGCGCGCCCTGGAGTGACTCCCTGGGAGGGCAGTGTCCCTGGGCCTGCTCCCTGGCCAACCACCAGGCTCCGCCTCCCTCACAGCGCGCAGCTCCCAGAGGCTGGGCGTCCCTCTCCCGCTAATTAACGGGGTGGTGGTTGGGGGGGGAGGGGGGTAGGGGAAGGGGAGGCGTGGTGGTTGGGGGGTGCCGATGCACAGAGCCAGAAGGACAGCTGACGAGAGAAGGAAGCGGGCTCCACCCCGGACGGGGCTGCCCTCCGCCCGTGGCCTGAGCTGGGCCTTAGCATTCGGTTCGCTGTGGCTGAGCTGGAATCAGGTACCAGCGGAGAATTTACAGTTTAAATCTAACTGCAGTGAAGTCTCTATTCCTGTGAGCTCAGCCTCAGCCTCAGCTTCGGGCCCCCTAGGGTTCCAATGGATACGTGTCTTCATTTCCTAGGTGCCTACTTCATATCCATAAACGGTTAAATGAACGGAGAGGCGAGAGGAGGAAGCGGTGATGCTTGTGTGTCCGATGGGCTCAGAGCGGGACCAGGAGGACGGGTGAGGAGTCAGGAGGAAGGCCCACACCAGGGCAGCCTGTCCACTGGGCCAGTCAGTCCCAGGAAGGCCGCGGTGGGTGGGGCTGCAGTCCCACTGCCTGACGTTCTGGAAAACAGCAGCCCTGAGAGCTCTCAGTGCTTGTGGGGGGAGGGGGGCAGGGGGGTAGAGGGGCGCAGCGGGCTTGCACTGCGGCCGTGGGCGGGGCCCCCCGGTATCTGCCACGTTGGTCAGGATGGACGCAGGGCCTTTGGCTTAGAGTTAACCTCCTGCTCCAGAGGGAGTGGCCTCGCCTCAGGTGTGTCTTGTCTTTTCTTGTTAATCTTCACACTGGATAGTTTTCCAGTTGGTTTTCAGAGAGAGAGGAAGGAAGGGGCAGACAGAGAGAGAGAAAAATCGAAGTAAGAGAGACCAGGGCTGGGGATTGAGCCTGCAGCCGAGGTACGTGCCCTTGACCATCCTCAGTCCGCAGGCTGGCGCTCTAACCACTCAGCCCAGCGGGGGCTCCCGTGTTCTTACCCGTCCTCTCAGGGTGGCGGGTGTCCTGTTGTGCTGCCGGCCGTGGTTGGCAGTGTTTCCTGAGTGCGTACCGGCTGCTTTAATTGCTTTCAAAACACTGATCACTTCACCCTTAGAAACATGCCGTGATTCAAGCTCTGGAATCCTCAGGACAGAATTAAGCAACTTGTCCAAATGCTGGCCTCGAGTCTTCGCCCTACCTTAGATTCTCCTGGACCAGGGCGCCCTGAGAGCCCAGGCAGACCATACATGCCCGCCACCGAGTCCATGAGGAGGTGGGAGGCCTGAGGGCAGAGGTGTGCGGTGGGA